GCTCTTCTCTGGGACCTAACCTTTTTTTACTTTTAACAAGAAGGGAAAGCCACAGGCATGTTACTGTCACTAGATAACGCACTACAGTGGTCCAATGTAGAAAATCAGAGGTCTGCTTGTAAGGAAGGTGTTGTCCTATATATTAAAGTTGAAAGAAAAGGGCTCTGCTTGTGCTGTTAAGAAATATTAGCATTTGGCATCTGACTGTACAGTAAAACATATCTTAAAAGAGCTACGTGGGCATGTAGTTTCACTGCTCTCATCTAGTATTGCAGTAAGGTTGATTGAATGAGCAGCAAGCGTTAATGGTTTGATTCATCAAGACAATCTGCGTGGTGCCATAGATGCTGGGTCCATCCAGGATCTGTGGTAAGACTGTCTGTGCTCCATCTGCCTGTACCACACAATAGGTGGTACTGCTACAGGCATTGTACACCTGGCCAGACAGGTGGGAAAACTCAAGATACTATGGCCAAAGTCAACTTGCTAACAAGCACTGCCAAGAAGATTAAGTTGGTAGAAGCTTGAATAAAGACACACATGATCTAAACATTCAGAAAAAGTGGGAGTATTGGAAGTCAAAACAGATTTTACTGGTAATTACATAAAGTAGCTAATCATGGAATAATTTTTTCCTAAAGGAAATTATAATTCAATGATATCACTCAGAAGAAGCATGATTATTTAAAAACAAGTTTTATCACATGGAAATTTACCGTACTAGAGGCCTGTTCCTTTCATACAATGGGTCTGCAAGCAGATGCTTCAAACAGTAATCCAGATTGCAACAGTGCTGTGCTTAAACAATCCAGTCACCTCCGATTTTTGTAGCCATGCTAGTTCCATGGCACACCTACGTGCAGGACTGCGTTAGCCCCTTTTACAGCAAGGCAGCATTGGACACACCTGAAGGCTTTTCTTAGAGACTGCAGTGAATTAAAAAGACTAATAAAGGACACATGGACCTGAACCAGTGGCATTTTATACTGCAAGATTGATAATGCACTGGTTATCGCAAATTCGGTATTGTTACTAGCGATGAAGATTATAACTTTCTTAAAAGGCACCATGTTCTGCATAGTGGTCTTGTTTTTCTAAGTAAACGATACATCTGAGAGGCTGGCAACATTTTATTTGGTTCTGGTTTTGTCTTCAAATAATTTCCTATAAATTACAAGGTTCAGCCAAAGACTACTCTTTTCTTTCGTCTGCACTGTGCTTGCATATGTGGTGTTGTGTACAGGACAGCTCAACAAAGCTTGTTCCACTCTGGTTCCCAAGCAGGCAGCCCTGGCCTGTGTGAGCCCCACTGCTGCCCACCCACTTAATGCCATTTCAAAACCCAGGCAGCAGAGGTGGCGTCTTCTTTGGGTGTTGTTGGAAGACAACATTGCATTGAGACCATTGATAGGAATCCAGGTCCTACTTTCACCAATATTTTTGCACACAATTTTGTGGCCCCATTGGTTTGGTGTCTGTGCAGATGCTGAGAGTTACCCCTGTTTGAGAAGCTTTCCTTCCAGTTTCGTGAGAGAGGTAAACAGGGACTGGGGTGGGAGGGCCAGCAGAGGCAGGGCAGGGCAGAAAGTCTCAAGCAGAGCCCACAGCTGAGCGCATGTTCCCAATTCCCAGTCTTACACCAGAATCTGCAAGAAAAAAAATGGACATTAAACCAGATACTGACAGAACAGATAACTGTTTGGTATTTTGAATGCTTGCTGGCAAAACCAGCAGAGCATGAATGCCCAGAGCACCCTCCTCATCCCTGCAGATGGGACCTTCACCCTGGCACTAAAGCTACCCATCAGTTTGATATGGGGGAGTCCACGTGCATCTTGTTGTACTGCTCAGTGTAACAAGGGCACCCACCTCTGGGGTAGTTAAGCCATCTGTAAAATAATATACATTAAAATCCCAATGTGGTAAGAGAGACAGCCCTGAAATAATTTCACTCATTTTCAGATTGAAAAATGCCATATTCTGTTTGTACAGAGCACCTGTGCATCCCAGAGGTCCATTTTAACTCTTCCTTTTGTTTAAAAGCATCCAAACATTCTCTTTTTCTTCACGTTAAGTACATGTTTGCGCTGCAAAGCGAGTGAGCGGGGACCACTGAAATCCCATCTCTTGCGTGCGTCGGACTTGCATACCTGAACAGATGGCAGATACTGACTTGAATTACAAACTCAGGTTTATTTGGAACCCAATAAAAGGTTGGGGGAGGCAGGAAAGAGACATGTATTTTTTTGTGAAAACCCAGTAAATATGTGTGAGAATCAGAATGAAGACAGAAATGTTAAATCTTTTATTATATTTATAGAGACTATATGAGTACTACACTGCTAAAACATAACCATGTATCCAGCTTAGACAGTAGCTATGTACAGTCAAACTGCAGTGACCACAGAAGGGACTTGCTGAAATACAGTAGTGGAAATTCCAGGGGAAAAAGTTGTATTTGTTGTCATTATTAAATATATGTACTTTTTGAACAAGATTGCCATGGACTGCTGACTTTGTTTGCCAGGTCACTATGTAGCAAGGATATCTAGGTAGAAAAACAACCAGCAAAATGGCGAGGTGACAAGAGGATTACCTTCACCCATCCCTTTGAATCTGGCTGCTGACTTGCCTATAAACCCCGGGTGAGCTAAAAGGCAGAAGTTGGGATTTCCCTTGCTTAATATGAGCCCTCTGCAAGTTGTACATCTAGTCTTTGGTCACTATCCAAGCTCTGTTTGTCACCAGTGGAGGCTGACAGGTATCTTCAGTTCTTCCCACCTTAAACAGAGGTCTAAAATGATGGAAATGAATTGCTCTTCAGCAACGCATAGCTGTATCCAAACATGAGGCAGGGAATAGGATCAGCCGGTTCAGATGAGACCCCAGCTTTTAGGCAGCCATAGGAAGTCACCCCAATCTAAACAAAAACATTTGCTGTTCAGCTTTCTGCTCCTCTGGAGTTAATGTCTTCAAGTTGTAGGGACTAGCCCTATGTTTGCTAAGCTTAGCCCAGCCATGCAAACTGGTGATCAGCCTTGCAGCTTCAGCTAGAGCATTTCTGCTGGTGATCCCACAATTCTTGTAAGTACTGTTTCTTCCTTCTCCTACCTTTGTACAAATCTGTTTCCTAGAACAACTGATCCAAAGACCTCCAAAATCAGCTGAGGTCTTTTTCTTGGTGTTTGCAATAGGCTTGGCACTGAGCCTGTAATGAGCCTGTTTGATAGATCTGAAAGTACACCTTATACTTCAGGTTGTGCACTGGGGAAAAGAGCACTGCTGAGCTTTGGTTGCAAGGTGGAAGCACCCTGACTTTATGGGGCCTTTCTGAGATGTTCTTTATGTGCAGAACCCAATGGAGCAGCTGTGAAGCACTTAAAGGTGGCTTTGCAAACTAAGATCACTGGACAGCAGTTCAGGATCCATAGTGACAAAGTGATTTCATTCACACTCTTCTGCCTGCAAAAATAAGTGTCAAATTCATTCAAGACAAAGAGCACAAATCAGCATCTGTTGCTAAAGGTGTTGGACTTTGTACTTGTCCTGTACAAAGGCTGATAAATATGAAAATTCTCAAGTATCTAGGTTTAAAAATCCTAAAAATAAATAACAGTTACTTTCACACTTTTGCACTTGACATCACTAGATCTTTGCAACAAAATCCCTTAATCTGTAGCTGCAAAATGGTTGGGTCAGGTTTGCCGGAGACTTTTAAGTCTGTAGTGCATCAATAAGATGGTTTGTCAGCCAGTTCCCAGAACCAGCCCAGCACAAATCTGCACAAGCCAGCAATGTAGCTGTGGTTAATGCATGGAAGAAGGGAAGGGAGAGGGGAGAAAGACTCAGTGGCCAGTGTAGCTTTGTTGTACTTGTCCCATGCAGACTGTGTGCCAGTGGCAGAGCGTGAGGCTGCTGGGCAAACTCTCAGCGTGTTGCTCGATCTAGGGCTGCTGCTTGTGGTGAGGGATTTTTAGGGTGGCGTGGATACACCCCCTCCACAGCTGTTGTGACAAAAACCTCCAACCCAAAGGGAAGCTACCCCTTTATTTGTTCATTTGTAATTAAGCTTTAAACTGGGGTTTGAAGCACCTCAAGCTCATAAGGGCCTTGCTTAACATGAAGTAAGCAGACATTTCAGGGACGCTATTGCTGTGTGCAGTAGTTTGGAGTCTGCCTGCCTCTTCCCTGCTTTTTTAATACTTGGTGGTCAATTTTCTGTTTTGTTTCCCCCTGCACATAGCTTCCCTGGAGCGTAACAAAACGGCTGGGTACAGCACTGGAGCCTGTTTTTCCTATTACAAAGTTATCATAGTGCCGTGGACTGAGAGCTACAAATCATCCACGTGCAGAAATACAGCCGTGTGGCAAATTCATTACTAGGTGTGACTCCCATGGTCTTTCAGCAAGCTCCCTGCCTCCTGGTTATGTGACTTGTTTGCATTGGAGGCAGCCTGAGGCAGGAATAGCGTGGGGAATACTGGGAGAGGGTTCAACTTTATGTCATCGCTTCTCATTGAGAGAAACATGCTCCTTCAGAAGTGAGTGTCTTATTCGCAGCAGGTTCCATCAAGGGAGCTGCTTGAGCATCGATTCCTTAGCCATGTACAGTGGCATGTGTTTCCTGGGGCATGTTTGCATCACCTGTAATTGTCTTCCACAAAGATGGCTTGCAGATGTATGTAGAGGGAGGGCAGGTGAAATATTTTTGTGTCTTTTCAATGTTTAATATCAAAAGAAGCCTGTAATATGATGCTTTCTGTTAGAGAGTTACAGGCAATTAACTGTTGTTAGAAACAAAGGGTGCCAAGATAGAGCCTAGAGTAGGATTTGGAGTTCACCAGAGCATCCCTGCCATGTGCCTGCTGATGCCAGGGCAGTGAAATGTCCAAGAAAGAAGAAATAAGAAGAGGTTTATTGGTTAAAGGTGAGGTAATTACAAATGCTGGTTAATATCTAAAAAC